GAGCACGCGGGGCCGCCGCACGCCCGTGCCCCGCACTCACATCACCGCACGGCAGCGCAGAGTCGCGGCCGCGGTACGGTGCCCGTGGAGGTGTATACGTGCCGCGCTGCACACCGAGCTCCGTACGCGGCTGTGTCTGTGTGCGTGCGTGTGTGTGTGTAGGCGCACGACGGCCGTCTGCATAACCTCCGCTGGACGCAGCTCAGCCGGGACACCCCTGCGCCGTGCGGCCGCGCCGGGGCGGGGCGGTGGGAGGGGGCGGGCGGTCGGAGCGCGGCGGGACGGGCAGCGCAGCGCAGCGCGGCGCAGCACAGAGTCGCGCAGAGCACCGCGCACAGCACCGCTCCATGAGCCGCCGCCGGCGCGGGGGGGGAGCCGGCGCTGCGCTCTCTGACCGCCGCGCCGGGATGTGAGTGGCGGCGGCTGAGACACGGCTGCGGCACCGGCGGTGAGTGGGAGAGCGAGCGGGCCGGCGGGAGGGGGCTGCCCCGGTCCCAGGCAGGTGCACGGGAGGTGGGAGACACGGAGCTGCGGCCCCGCTCCGCCCCGCCCTGCCCTGTGCTGGCGGAACAAGAGCGGACAGCGGCTGGGGCCGGGAGTCAAGGAAGGGGATTAGAGGGGATATAGGGCGAGGGGGGAGGAGGGGTCTGGGAAAGGAAGACGACGAGGGGAGTTCGGAGACGGGGGAAAGAAGAGCGGGGAGAACGGGGGAAGGAGAGGAAGGGAGAGAAAGCTGAGAGAGAAACGAGCGGAGGGACAAAAGAGCGGGGCCGGAGCGGGATGTACAGGACGGCGGGAGGAGGTGCCGCGGGGCAGGGCGGGGGGGCTGCAGGGCTGTCCGCGTGGGAGGGAGCGGAGCTCCGTGCGGGGCGGTGGGCCCCGGGGGGGGACCCTCGCGCTGACACCACCGCCTCGGTCGGGTCCGGAGGCGCGGGGGGGGGCGGAGGGGCGGCCCGGGGCGGAGCGGTGCCGCTCGGGGCGGCCGCGCCGCGGCTGTATCTCAATGCGGAGCCCTCGGTGTACTCCCGCCCCCCTCAGCCGAGCGGCGATGGGATTTAGTACTTATGTGAACCCTTTGTTTACGCCCGAGCTAATGGTTATCCCGCGGTAACGGGATTTCCTCCACCGGAGCTGCGCGCCGGGGTTGGTTACGGGCGGAGCGCTGAGCGCTTCTCAGCGGCGGAGCGCAGTGCGGAGGTGCTGAGGTGTTCTCGTCGTGAAGAAACCCGTCCGTGTGAGGCTGTGACGTGAAGAGAAACAGTTGTTTGAGAACGAGCGGAGCAAAGGGAAGCATTGATCGCTTGCAATCGATCGCGCTCAGCAGCGCAGCGCGTCGGGGCTGACAGCCGCGGGCAGTGCGAGCACCGCGGGCGGCGGAGTCCGAGCGAGCGGAGCAGCGCCGGCTGAGGGATCGCTGCGTGTTACGGAGTACGTCTCGTTCTGTGCGTTTCGGAGCGGGCCGTGCTCTGTGCAGCCGCGAGCGGTGCGTGCGTTCCTCTGACACGGGGCGCGTCTCAATCAGTGCTGTAGTTTTGCATCCGCGGAGCAATAGCAGCGTTAATTGTTATTCCAGAAATGAATCTCCCGGCAGTCTCGTCCGGGCTGGGCTGCTGCCGCTCCGCTGTCTGCTTCCGAGTCCACTCCTCACCTGGGCAGAAGGTGCTGGCAGAGACCCCGCATTGTGATCGGGGGGTAGCAGGGGCTGGGGGCTCCTCCTGAGCTCGGTTACAGATTGATTTCCTCTTCGGTGGTTGGATGCATCCTCTTGCATTGCTTTGTTAACTTTAGGTCTGTAAAAAGAGGATCGGGTAACACAGCAAACCATAAATACCGTCACCTTGCATCTCTGCACTGTTATAATGTTATTCTTTACACACAAATATTCACTAGCAGCATACAGCATAGTTTTGACTGGATGGGAGATGTTTGCAGTCTGTAGCCAGAAGGCATTAGCAATGGAAAGCCTCACTGATTTTTAAACATGACAACTTCAGGAGGAGAGCGGTGAGGTTTTCTGTTCCTGCTGAGCTGCCCACAGCCGTGCTTTGTGCCGTGCACGGCCCCGTCCGTGTCACTCGTGTCATGGTTTGTGCACTGCCCCTACACCGCAGCACGGGGGCTGTGCCGGCTGCAGAGCGCAGTGCCCGCTGTGCTGGGAGCCGATCCGGGACCTCTGGCTGTGGCCCGGCTCTGCAGCTGTCCTGGTGTTTGTTTGCTGGTTGTTTCTGAAATGTCTGAGGCTTCTCGATTCATGTCATGTGCTTGTGGTTGCTCTCAGACTCAGGTATGTTTGCTTAACTGGTTGTAATGAAATATAATTTTGGAGGGGGATCTGAGGTAAAAAAGAGACTCGAGGTGATTCCTGCTGTGCCAGCAGTTCCCCCCTGTGCTGCAGGGAGCGTCACACCTCTGGGCACCACGCTGCGATGTCCCTGTCGTGCTCTGCTCCCACTGCAGCTTCGGTGGTGGCAGAGCGATGTGTCAGCGCACTGCCAGGCTGTGCAGCTCTGCTGAGAGCTGATCTGGACATAAAGAGGAAGGAACACCGTTGTGCAGCCATCGATGTGTGCAGCTGCTGAGATGAGGAGCCGGTTTTGCTATGAAGCCTCAAGGCACACAGGCACACCACCCACAGCACAGGCTGGAGGAAGCCTCTGTTTTAATAACAAACCCACACTGATATCCTTTGCTTTTTCAAAACAGCTTTTCTGGCAAAAAGGCTCTCTAGTTTTTCCTCATGTTTACACCGTCTGTGGCTTCAGCTGAAGCTGTGATACTCCTGTGCCAGACTTTTACGTCGTGCTGCACTGTTCTCCCCTGCCCACACAGCGCTGTGGGTGTGCTGCCAGTTCCAGTGCTGGAAGAATTCTGGCTGACATCCCCGTGGAGCTGCTGACGGTGTTGGTTCTGACCCAGTCAGTCCACAGTACACTGCTGTGAGTGTGGCTGTACTGATGGCAGTGGGGAGAGGTTCCTCCTATGGAGCTCTGCTTGCAGGCTTTGGTGGAAAAAGGCTCTGCAGGTCAGCACGGGTTGCTGACATGTGATGGGAATGTGATTCCACACCAGGAATACTATCAGCTGTCCCAGTGAGCTTTTGTTTGATGCTGCAGCCCTGTCAGTGCCTTCTGAGAGAACTATTGCTCATTTCCATCAGTTCTCCTGGAAGTAATTTCACAAATCAAAGTAACTTAGGAAAAGTTCTCTTGAGTTGAACATCTCTGCCTTTCTGAGGATGTCTTTCGTCTGAATTCTAAATATATTTTGACGCAGATTCATTCCCCTTTTCCGGAAGAGACTATTCCTTCTTGTAGGGGGAAATACTTAACATCACTAATCCTCCTTTCCCAAACACTTCCACATAGGAAGAGGAAAGAAGTGATGGGCTGACAATATGACTGCTTACCCATGCAGCACCATCACCATGGAAACAGACTGTCCTAGAATAGCTCCATCACATGAGGGTTACATGACATGAATAAAGTAACCAGAAAACTGGAAAATGTCTTAGAACTGGCAATACTTGCTCTTAATTCATTACCCCCCAGGTCTTTGGAGAGCAGTGGATAAACAAAGCCAGTATTAAAATCAATGTAGTGCATGTATGTCATCACATGCATGTGAGAGGGTAGTGGAAAACAAATGTGATTCTCATTTAAAGGGCTTTTTGTTGCTTCCAGTTCGGGATACATTATTTTAGAAGGAGTTTTGAATAATTTTCCATGTGAGCTCCTGCTTCTTGAAATTGGTACCAGTGGTTTTCAGCAGTGCCCTCATGGATCCCCTTGGATTTCCTCTGTGCATCAGCAGGCACTGACGGTTCTGCACTTCTCAGGAGATTCTGGATGTTCTAACAAGTGAATGCAGCAGTTGAAAGAAGAACTGCCTGTGCACAGAAGGGATTGCAAAATTACCTTTGGAATGTTTCCTTCTAGTTAATTATGAACACAGAGGGCAAAGATTTATTGAGCATGACCATTTTCAGTAGAAAAATGAATCTATTTCACTGATGATTGATTTTCTCTTGGTAAAGTCAGTGCTTTTTAATGTGTTGTGACAGTCATTGGGAAACACAGATCAGACACAAAGAAGTAAGTTTTCTACCGATTCACCATAAAGAAAACTAAAGCTAGATAGCAAAAAAATTGTTATTCACCATCGGCATGTCGTCCCATCATTAGAACGTGTTAGCCCTCCCAGCAGTGCGAGGACCCTTTCACTCCTGTGGGCAGGCAGCTCAGTCATTACTTTCTTCTCATTTGTCCAGCCCACATCATGTTATGTGTCATGAATCCCACTGCAGAGATGAAGTTTTGTAGTAAGCTCTTTTTTCTGTTGTGTGGATGAAGAGCATGAAGCCTTTATGCATTTATATTAGCCTGTCAAGCCCGCAATCTTGGTGCCTCTGATAGGAAACAGAATAATTTCTGTCATTTGTCTCAAGACAGAGACCTACAATGGATTCATAACTCAGTGAAAGGAGAATGAATGAATGTGTTTAAAGGTTGAGGTCCTCAGGATTTAACTTCAGTCATTAAAGGAGTAAAACACGCAGGAGATTACACGCATCATTCTCATCTGTAATAGTCTCTGTGCTGTTTCATGCAGTGCATGAATGGTGAATGGTTTTTGCATTGGTTAGGACTGATCATGTCCAATATAACAACGTTGCACCATTAATGAGAGTTGAAAATGGTTTAAAGTGAACTTTTTAATGTTTCCCTTAGACGCGCTTCTGATTTATAAAATGTCATTAGGCAGTCACTTAGGACTTGGTGTAATTTGCTTCTCTACTTTTTGCTCTGTGTCATAAGGATGCTGTGTGAGTAACATTAGTGCCTGCTTACGTGGTGCTTTTCTCCCACACGCAGAGGCCTTTCTCTGAGCATGTTAAGCTGGGCACACAGCTCACATCACTGAGTGTAACCCACCTGAAACCCACGGCACCACGCAAGCAAAAGTCAACAGAAAGGTTTCCTATCTGGTACGTGTTGTGTTTACTGTCTGTGGGGCAGACTGTTCATTTAAAGGGTACATTTTAACAATGCCTTGCTTTGCTTGGTAAAAGCAAATGCTGTTACATACATCTTTTAAAACCACCTAATCCGTGTTCTTCCTGAAAGTAATAATTTGGCCTGATTTGTTGGAATCTGTCCAGCCCAATGGTCCCGATGGCAAGTGGGGTTGCTGTGGTCCTGGAGAGTTTACAGTTGTTCACTCTGTAGCCTGGGGAGAGCGATGCTCTGGTTCTTGTTGTTTGTTTCATTTGAATGGCTAAAGCCATTTGCTGAGAAGCACAAAGAGTCATTCATTTTTGATTAGTTGATTGATGACACTGCATGTGTGCACCATTGTTGCAGAGCATGGGGGGTTTCTCTAGCCAACCATTCCCATTTGCAATTGCAACCCAATACCTGGGCTTTGAAGGGAATGAATATTATAACTGCCTATTGACTGAGGAGGAAAAGAACATTTTCCTTTAGAAAAAAATAAAGTTTTTGCTCTCTCTACATTCTGATAAAAAGGGGCAAGCCTGTGAAATGGTCTGATTCTGCCAGTCCAGTGCAATTCACACATTCTTGAATCTGAACAATAAAATACTGTAGATAATATATTACTTCACAACATGATAAATAATTTCTGCTGGCTGTGTTTTAGGATATTTGCAAGGACAGTGCTTGGGAATGTTTTTGATCAGTGCAAACTCAGAAATGAATCAGTTTGCTGTCTGTGTTCAGCAGGCAAGTTTCTTTGAGGGGGGGAGCAAAGGGGCATAGGGGTATGCTAATCCAGATGAAAATCCCACGCAGAAAAAAAAAGTAAATGTGAGCTACTGAAACAGGCTGTACTTCCAATTGCTGTCAAGTCCTTCAGAGTGACCTGTGGCTAAACACCCAAATGTTTATTGTCTCAGACAGAAAAATGAAAACCTACCCAGCCATTGGTTTCTTCGTCCTCTTCGTCATCAGCTATGGCTCTTCTGAAAACTCCAGCACGCCGAGAGGGTGCGGACTGGATCTCCTGCCCCAGTATGTGTACCTCTGTGACCTGGATGCCATCTGGGGAATAGTTGTGGAGGCGGTTGCGGGAGCAGGTGTGCTGACAACGTTACTGCTGATGCTGATTTTGCTGGTGAGGCTGCCCTTCATCAAGGAAAAAGAGAAGAAGAGCCCCCTGGGGATGCACTTCCTCTTTCTGTTTGGGACACTCGGACTATTTGGACTGACATTTGCTTTCATCATTCAGGAAGATGAAATGGTGTGCTCTACCCGAAGATTTCTGTGGGGAGTTATCTTTGCTTTGTGCTTCTCGTGCTTGCTAGCTCAGGCTTGGAGACTTCGCAGACTAGTTCGGCATGGGAAGAGTCCATCTGGCTGGCATCTGGCTGGTGTGGCCATCTGCCTGATGCTTGTTCAGGTCATCATTGCAACGGAGTGGTTAATACTGACAGTTGTCAGAGATAACAAGATGTCTTGCAGCTACGAACCAATGGATTTTGCTATGGCTTTGATTTATGTTATGTTCCTGATGGTATTTGCCATGGGGTTTTCTCTTTTCACTCTCTGTGGAAAGTTTAAGAAGTGGAAGAAAAATGGAGTATGCCTGATTATAACGCTGTTTTTTTCCATTCTGATTTGGGTAGCCTGGATGACTATGTACCTCTTTGGTAATGCTGAACTAAAGAAAAGAGACCAATGGAGTGATCCCACTCTTGCTATTGCACTGGTGTCCAGTGGTTGGGTGTTTGTTATTTTTCATGCTATCCCAGAGGTCCACTGTACCATCCTTCCATCACAGCAGGAGAACACTCCCAATTATTTTGACACTTCACAGCCAAGGATGCGTGAAACTGCTTTTGAGGAAGATATACAGCTTCCTCGGAGCTACATGGAAAACAAAGCCTTTTCTATGGATGAACATAATGCAGGTAAGAATTTACTATTCAGAACTTTATTTCTGTAGTAGCAAGGAAAGTATCTGTGTGAGACATTTTTCAGGTGTCGAAAACAAGGCTTACTACAAAACCCATAGTTTACACCTTACATACAGCTTACTTTCAATGTATTAATTAGGAAGTCACTTTAGTGGGAGAAAAACATGAAAAAATGTAATACAGAAAACAGATGTTTGGTTAAAATGTTGGAATTTTTTTTTTTTTTTTGCATTTGATTTTTTTTTCCTCAATTTCAAATGTAACCAGACAACACCAAAAGCAGAAGAAAAACACAGTGGAAAAAATAACTTCTATTTTAAAACAGTACAACATTTTTTGTCTTTCTTAGTTAATAACATTTTATATGAAATATGCTCCTAAAAAAAAAAAAAAAAAAAAAAAAAAGAAGAAAAAGAGTTCTCCATGCTACAAAGGCTCGGTCTCTTCAGCAATAGAATAATTACTATTAATCATACTACCATTAAAGTAGGACTCAGTGTCCTCTGTGACACTGATTGGAAAAAAAGATGCAAGGTGGCATATAGACATGTTCAAAGAGAGTCTTTGTTCTGAAGACTTTAACATGCTAACAGAATATGCACAGACAGGTTTCACAGTAATGGCTGCTTTCCTTGTCACAACCATTGGGTGACACAGAACAGTGTGTGATGACACGTAAAGAAGATTTGCCATGAAAATGTTGGAGCGAGTACCGAAAAAGCCAGCAAACTGGTCGCTCAGGAGATCCAAAGCATTGCTGAAAGTTAAACACATATCAGAAAATATCCAGGGCTGCTTATCTGAGCAGTGATGGAAATCACCTGATGGTGTTGAGGAGGGTAGGCTGTGTTCTGCTGATGCCTCACAGCTGGAGAAAGGATTTGGATACTACTCAAACTGCTTTAGTATCCAAGCCAATAGTTGCCACACTGCTATGGCAGTCCACAAAAAAAGGCTTTGGTTATATTGTCTGGGTACTTTACCTCTTTATTTATGTCCACCTATCTTTATTTTCTTTGGGTCTTGATGTTTCCTCCGGATGTAGAACAGGCATGAAGGAAAAGAGCACTCGTGTGACAGCGCTGGGTCAGGAAGGTGTTGTCCCTCCACATGTTTTAGCAGCAACTTCAGAGGTCTCCGCGTTGGATGGAAGCTTTGAACAGAAAGGAGTTAAGGTCTTGTGAGGACACAACAAGGCAGTGGTAAAACAAAACGTGGATAAAAGAGTAGCTGTTCATTACCAGCGTTCCAAAGGAACTTCACTGTAGACTATAAATGCACTTCTATTTTATTTTACTGCTCTCCATCCCCCATTAAATTAATGTCATAGTAATGTAAGTGCAGTGACTACAGTGGAGTTGTTTCTGACTAAGACAGATTTAAAGAAAAGAATCAGATCTTTCACCCTCCGTTATTTTCATTCATGCCTACACTTAAAAAAGAACTGGAAGCTCCATTTAGATCTGATTGGTCAGTGATCAGGTTTTGTAGTGACATGGGTAGACGTCTGACAGCTATAAAATCAGTATAGTATCTATTACAGTGTAACTGTTCTGTTCTAATCTGAATATAAAACAATTCCTTATCTGATTCCCTTGTTAATATTTATCATAATAATGAATGCCATTCCTCTCCTCACGGCGTGTGGAGGAAAAGATTGGATTTTAATAAATCAAAGGAGATTCATTATTCCTTTGCAGTGGTTCTCTACGTTGCGTACAGAACCATGACAACAGGGTTTGGAGACATAACTTACAGTAGAGCATTAAATAGAAGTAAAAATACTCAAGTCACATATTATGTTATTCATTTAATTAAACTCAACTGAAGAATGTGTAATTAAGAGTTCAGAAATTAAAGGAAGAGTACTTTCTTCAATTATGCATAATAACAGTGTTTCAGATTATAAGATCTACTAGCTGGAAAGTTTTGGAAGAGACGTGATTTATGGTTGGACTTAAAGGTCTTTTCTGACCTACATGATTCTAGAGTTCTGTAACCAGAAATCAGCTCTATGTTCCCAGAATTTGTTTAAGCTTTACTGAGAAAACATGCTTGGTTGAATGTATTTTCCATTAATTCACACTGTATAAAGCAATTTTCTTTTTTTTTTTTTTTCCTTTTTCAAAAGATTTTATCATTTTCAGAATCAGAATAACCTTTACATTACAGGTTCAAATAAGCATGTATTCTCATAGTTTTTCTCATAGCCATGTAGCCCCAAGTCATACTTACCAACAAGATTTGTTCTGTTCCAGGAATACCATTAAGTATTAGTAAGGCAAAATGGTTATACATTCAGTTACTTAACCGTCATTTAAACAACATACTAATTTTAACATTCATATAACAGACATGTCAAAGTGCTTAGAAGACTAACTCTCATTCCTGTGTCTTGTAAAAATATTAGTAAAGTACTTAGAATCCCTGAAAAAGGGCAACTTGAGTGAGCTCCCAGAGAACTGGAAGTGCAGTGCACAGTAATGGGGCAGCTTCAGCAAAGCAAATACGGTTTGCTTTCTGCATGAAAAACCTGGGCGTGAAATGTAGAGTTCTGCAGCTGTCATGAAACACAAGCCTAAGAAGCTCTGCTGCTCGCTGAATTTCATTTAACTGTTAGTACTAAAGTCATCCTATGAGCCACCTACAAACAAGCTAACAATTAAAAACACATAGGAGACTGTGACCTGGCATTTGTTCAAACCTCCTTGGCATTTTTTTTTAACCTATTCATCCTCTACATGACTAGATGCATTTAATAGTACCAGGAAAAGTACAAGAGAAATAGTAAAACCATTAGAAAAAAAAAATCCCCAAATGAGTATTCTGCCCACACACTTTGTCTCTGATTCTCACATTAGCAGAATTTTAGACTTCTGGCAATAATAGGGAAGGAAAATTCAGCAATCCGGCTTTGAAGGTACTGTCTCAGGATAGGGCTGAAATTACCATGCAAATTATATACTAGAATGTGTAAATATTTTACTGATAGCATGCATTACAAGGAGATCTTTTTTCTTCATGTAATACTAAATACTAGAGCAATCATTTGTGTCTAAGGCACAGAAAGAAGCTAAACTGCAAAGAAGGAATTCTACTGACCCTGAGATGATTAAATATAAAATAAAGATACAGAACTGTGGGAGAACAGCAGATGAAAGCCTCTATTCTAGTGTTCTGGGGAAAAAAAAAAAAAAAAAAAAAAAAGATGTATGTAATTCTGTATATATAAGAATTTTAAATATAGAGTAAGTGAGGATCTGTATATATGTGAAGTCATTAGCTAAGCACTTGCAGGGCTAGATTTTTAAATACGTGTGCTAAGTCAGTACAGTTCATCATCTCTGCGTACTACTCGCAGACAGAAGAGAGCAGTGAACACAGGACTGTGCATAGCAGCAGGCTCCATTTAAATCCTGATGCACACACTGCAAAGATATTAAATCCTGACTTCCTTAAGGTTTATGCTGAAATTCCTCTAAACTTAGTTCCTCTGTTTTCAGCGGGAGAGCATAGAATTGTAATTTGAATTAAATCTAAGTGGAATTCTTGCCCCAGGTGCCCAATCCAGCACCTATTTGCCAGCTGACAGATGGGCACTGCCCTCTGGAACCGCTCACGCAGTGCGTATAAATGAGCTCTGTTCCCCGGCCACATCTGAATTCAGAGAAGCCATTCTTTACCCTTGAAGTAAAAAAAAAGGAGTACGTGTGCGCCAATATCCAGCCTGGTTTAGACAGAAAGCAGCACATCTCTAACTCTGCATCTCTTTCAGAATATACATCCCGAATCCAAACTTGTGCTAAAAGACATGGAGAAGCTGATGTAGTTCTGCATTCGGAAGGACAGTCAGTGCCTTCTCTTTTGCTTCAGTCAGTGGCCACGTTTAAGCTATTCGAAAGCAGTATTTACTTCATATTTCTAGTTTCTCAGGGTAAATATAATCTGAAACATCTGGAAAGTCCTTACGTGCTAGTCATGCTGAAGTAATGCTCAGGGGGACTGCGAGCATGCTTGCTGGCTCAAGCAGTGCTTTGGATCTCTGTCCTCCCAGTTTGATTGAAAGCAAAGTGTAATAGCATTTCACTTAACCCCACTGTATCCAGACTGATGCGAAGAGCACAAGGCAAAAAACATTGTTCAAGATGCATCACAGGTGCACTGACTGAGGATATTTAACTCCTGGTGAAATGAAACTAAGCAAATTTCAAGAATTTTTCCTCCGTTGCATCGCAAGCAGTTATGTTTGTGTAAAACATTATTTTTTCTGAGATCCATCCCCATCTCTGTAAGAAAAACTGTTGTTCAGAGTCAATACAGAAACTGATACGGCAGCATAAAAGTTAAAACCAGTGGCACAGTTCCCAGTGACTGCACTGGAAGCACAATATTTTATGACTTCAAAGGAGATGCACAGCATTACTCGTGTTCCTAAGAGCAGTCTCTCTTTTTAAACGCAGCGCTAAGGACGGCAGGATTTCGCAACGGCAGTTTGGGAAGCCGACCTAGTGCTCCTTTTAGAAGCAATGTTTATCAGCCAACTGAGATGGCAGTTGTGCTAAATGGTGGGACTGTAAGTATCAAAATGTGATGACGTATCGATATATGCAATTGCTACTAATTGAAAAGCCTTCTGCATTTAGCTTGTTCAGAGCAGGGGGAAAGCTATAAATGCAAATTTGGGCAGCAAGTGTGCATGTAATGCTTCCCTCCCCCTCTACAAAAGATGTCATTTGAAAGTATTTTGCATTTCGTTAATTGTCCCTTCACATTTTGCATTGTAGCTTGGGAGGGCTGAGTCCTTTGGTAACTCTACCTATTCATTGACCCCTCTGAATTACATTTGTTAACTATTAAGTGACATAATTTCTAACCTAATCTTTTTTCAAGACAATCACATAAATGTTTGCAAGCCAGTACTTTGCTTTAAATAAGAATCGTAGCAGACAGTGATAGGCTCTCACCTAGTTTCCATATTCTTGCAAATGTACATAATTCTTTGTAAGATACAGACGTAAAGATCTCTGAGAAATAAGAGCAGTGTAGAATATTTTAATGATAACAACTCTGATCTTTCTCTCTGAGACAATAGTTTGGCATGCCATTATTCCATAGACTTGTCTTAGTGAGCTGATGCCAAACAGGCCTCCTAAATATTTCCAGCATTACATGTAATTTGCACTTAAGAAGTGGCATATGGTAGGCATAATGTTGAAAAAGAATTTTCATCCCCATATTTTTTCATGCTATCTATGTGCTTGTAAAAATCTATCCATGAACACTCTACACATGAGTTGGGTTTTTTTTTTTTTAATTTTGAATCATGAGCTGATTCCATAACTCAGCTTCTACATTTAAAGCCAAATAATGCAATCTTAATGCAGGTCTCTTTGTTTGTTTGTAAGAAAATACCATTTTGTTTGGATTTAGTGAACAAGGCAGACTAGATACAAGGATTCTGTCATGTGGGTAATACAGTGGGAACACATCAACTTGAATAAAAACGGGCTTGTGCTTTGCTGTCAGTCATGAATAGCATCCTTTTGATGCTTGGTTTCATCCATGCCTGTGTTTTCTGATACCAGAATATGCAGCTCAGGGAAAAGCAGTTCAAGGATGATGAGAAACTAAAGGATTTGTTTGGTCTTGTTTTGAGGTGGATACAAAACTTACTGGAGAGCACTGGAGAGTAATATGAGAAAGAAACGTGTGTATAGTCATGGTTTTTACAGAGAGGTAAACATGCCATGTGGGTTGAACATGAGTTTCATTGTAGTGCTTTGCTCTGGAAATACTGTACATGTAGCATGGTAACACTGATTGCTGAACAGACCAGACCTCCCAGTTATGGGTTTATTATCCTTATTTGCAGATACCAACAGCTCCGCCAAGTTACACTGGACGACACCTCTGGTGAAAGGCTGTAGGCAGTAGAGAATAAGAATCCTTGTTGCAGATTTATTCCCTGGCAGTGTGTCTTTGAGGGAGGAATTGATACCAGTACCAGAACAAAGCAACAGAACATCCAGGAGCTTGCGAAATCCCACAGAGGATTTTGTGTAAATGTGAACACCGCGGAATGGATAAACTAACTGCAAAAAGAAAATTATAAGTCTGAAGCTAAATCTGAATTAAAATAGAGGTAGGCACACTTCAAAATGGAAGAGGGGGATATTGTATTCTGAAATGTAAGATATTCCCTTGTCTGTAACCAGTAACCAGTGTGCAAGGCAAGCCTAATTCTTTTTGTTGGATGCCAGCTGCTTGCAAACTACTCTCCTCTCACCTAAAATTAATTCACGTTGCCACAAGAGATTGCCACCACAGTGTGAAGACGTGCAGGATTTCTTTCCATCTTGCTCCTTTTCCTTTCATTTCAAATGTCATGAAAAGTATATTGTTTGCCTCATGATCCAGCTGTACTGGAACATCATGCGTTACCGCTCTGTGCCAACGCCGTTACCATCACGCTGTAGGTTGACACTCTTCTCTTTAAAAAGCTCATGTATAAGAAGCAGTTCTGGAGAGATGCAGGGTCTGTATGTGCTTTACGTGAGCGCAGGAGCTTCTTGAGGCAGAGGAGCGCAGGTCCAGCATAGGCAGCTCTTCTGCAGCCTGGAATTGGATTCCCTCCTGTTCCTCAACCTGGGTGTGAGCAGAGTTGTGCGTTCTCACTTCTCCTACAGAAGAAGCCATTAAAGGAATCTGTGGAGGGATATGCTTTGCAAAGACTTAGCTGGCGAGAGAACGTGACTCATGTTTGCCACGAGTGCACTGTGATAGCAGACAAAGGGTGATGTCCATCGGTGCTGGTGGGCCGAGGTCTGTCCATAATGGTGGGCTGGAGTCTGTCTGTGTTGGTAGGCCAAGGTCGGCACCCAGGGGGTCAGTGGCAGCTGCAGAGCACCGACTGCCTGTCGGAGGAACGTGGTGCGTGTAGGGCTGAGGCTGCTGCTTCCAATCCCTGTTTGTATGGGTAGTCTCATTGACTGCAGTTGTTTGTGCATTTAATTGTGGTTGTGCATTTTAGTGCCTAGCTGTTAGAATCTCCCTTCTGGAGGTGGTTTGTTGTTGTTTTTGGTTTTTTAAGGTGGTTTCTTCCTTAGTTCTCCCCCTCTGCCTCCGCTTTTTCAAGTTAAAATATGGCAGACTTTCTCAAAGCTTTTTATCTTTGTTTTCTCCAGGTTATTTAAAAGGTTCACATTGCCCATTGTTTGTGCCATGATTTTCATTATGTTTAAGCAGTCATTCCTTTATTTAACATTTAATACATATCGGACATTGAAAACATCACTGTATCCTCACCATTTGGCCAACGTTAATCTTAGCTTTCCTGAATTCTAAAAGCAAATTGTTTTTACTTGAGGGCATAGGAAACATTTAACAAATAAACTTTGCATATGATATAATAAAAAAACTATATTTTCAAACTAAAAAAATAGAATATACAAATAACCGAACAGCTTAGTAGCTTCACAGAAAGAAGTTACTTGCTGTCTACAGCAGAAGAAAGACAAGTATTCTATTTTTCGAGAGTCTTCCTGATTCTGCACTTACCTCCATTTCTGCTGAACTAGGAACCTAGTCCTGCAGACTGTACTCCCACAAGTAGTCCCTTTGATACCAGTAAGTCTACATACAGGTACAGAAGCTGCAAGACCAGTCCCTAAGTGTTGCACAGATATACATGTGCGTGTGTGTGTATATATATATATGAAGGAATATATGTTGCCATTCTTGCCATGATCATCTTATAAGGTTTTACTTCACAGCTCTTCTCTTCCAGAAGCAATGTTTTTCTGTCATGCATGAGTAAAGGAACGTGTTAGCTCCATGTTGGATATTCCCCCCCTGCCTTTCCCTCCTCAAGGCAAAGGAAGCATGTGCTTGTTTAGGGATTGCTTATTTATTTTGTAAGTAACTAGATGGCCTAAGTAACCAAGTAGGGTAGGGGTGGATATTGCATGCTATCCAGTGACTTAGAAATACATTTGCTTTGTTAAAAGCAAAGCTTTAATTAAATAAGATAGCATTCATAATATTTACCCTGAAAATGCATCACTTTGAACAATATAAAACCTGTTTTCATCACTTGCTTGCTGAGTTTTGCTTTAAAAATCAAATTTAAAAAATCACAAAACTCTACTGTAAAAACATATAAGATGACCATGGCATAAGTGGTAGGACAGTTTTCTTTTAAAAAGTTTATCATGCTACAACCGAGATTTAGGAACTACAATACAACTGTTACAGACCTTGGACAAAACTTTACAACATGTAGTTCTCTTAATAAATGTTTTTTTCTAGATGTGACTGAATTGATAAATAGACTTCCCAATCCTGTTCCTAATGAAGCTGATTAGAATTTAAGACCTTATGTAAGGATAGGGCCAGATCCTAAAGGCTGCTACTGGCATGACTACTGTAGCTGGTTAGTCACTTGGGCTCTTCACGGGATTACTAAGTGGCAGGATTGGTCTGAATTTGTGGTGGTGAGGGTGTGGCAATAGATTAGGAAGGTCTTTATTTTCCAACTTTGTACAATTAGTAATAAGCAACTTTTTTTTTGTAAGTTTGTGATGTTAAATGCCCAAATAAAAATGTGATCGAAGAAAGGCACCTTTATGTTAGCTTATACTTCTGTTACAGTCAACAATTTGTTTACTTTTGCCTTTTATGAGTTATCTAGAATGTAGAGCATCTGTGAACAACATAATAAATAAGTGTAAGCACAAGCCTTTCGCAGTTCAGTTAATTAGGATTTTATAGTATAAAAGCTACTGCGTTGTCCCTTGATGGCTATGTTATCATGGTGTACAGAAAAGTGAAACTGTAAAACATCTGAAAAAATTGTTATCAGAACAAGATTTTTAATAACTGGCTTCTGCAAGAAAAGAGTTCAGAGCCATAATTTTACAGGTCCTGTCCTGCTTTCAAAGGAGCTGAAGGCATCTGACACTGACCAGAAAATATGTAGCACCTTCAAAACAGCACTCTCAGTACACACACTTGTTTCTATAAACATGGTACATGAAATATAGAACTAGTTGTATCTGTTTTTAGTATAAACACGGGCATCTTGGTTGGCTTTGGAGCTTGATGCCTTGGGCCTCACCAAAGGCAGTGCAAAAGGGAGCATTGTAGCTTTTATAATAAAACGATTGGACTATTCTACCAACTTACAGGATTACAAAGCCGGTGCTTTTTATTAATTGATGAGAGCTAAAGCTCATTTTTGATAGATAATATATATTTATTAAATGTATTAATGTGTGTTTTATAACATACCCTTTTTTCCGCTGATTGTTGCATACACTGGTATCTTATTAAGTACATCTTTAAAGGATTTTCAAGACAATCAATGCGTACCATGATGTCTGTACATACGTATACAAAACTACAAAGGTTGTAAAGCATGGGCAAATGTTTTATTTTCAAAATGCTGTTCTTAACGAGAATAAAGGCTTTACTATTTACTTACAATGCTTGTGTTAACTTGGTGTTAAAACCCACATTGAATTTTTCTGCAGAAGCAAACTTCTGGTGCTACAGACAGCTTTATCCTGCAGTGACACTGTGGGTGCGATTCTGCAATGTGAGCTAAGTTGAACTGAAGGAAGCTGGCTCCTCTACTTCTGGTCACATTCCCACACTTGCTCCTGGCTCTGGCACCCACCAAAACCCTTTGTGAGCCACTCAAGGAGCTGTGCAGACAAACTATTAACACTACCACTGACTTTTATTCTTCCAGTTGGCTCAGCAGTTTCCTGAGCTGGCTCAATTGCTAATGCCTGTGAAAAGGAGGGGACAGGACCACACAGCTGCTGTCCGACTAGTTTTCTCTCCAGGTCTTCCTGATCTGGTGAAAAGCATCAGCATCCAAAAGAAGAAAAAAAATGCGGGGTGGGTACTGGTATAACACTGAATCAGAATCATAGAATTGCTCACATTGGAAAAGACCTTCAATATCATCAAGTCCAACCACAACCTAACCACATACCCTATCTCTAGCAACCCTCCATTAAGTCATGTCCCTGAGCACAAAGCTGGTGTAAGTCACGGAAGAAATTGATGTTGGATCACAACAGAGCTAGGTGGTATCCACATTTACCATTATTACCCTCCAGTCAGCTAGACCATTGTTACATGGAAAAAGCAGCACAACTGCTAATATCTTCTCTAACTGTGACATTACAAAGGCCTAAATGGGACTACGCTTGGCCAACCTGAATTTAAGAAACCATGGGGTCGCAAGGGAACCCAATCCGATTTTTATTTGCTTGCTTATTTTGTAAGTAGACATATGTGAGATCACTGAAAATGCTATCACTGTGATCTGAATTTTACACTTTCTCAGCACATATGCTGAGTGATAACAAAAGGTCCTCTGACTTCCCCTGCAGAAATGCAGAGCAACCCTAGCTTCCCTTGCCTTCACAGTGTTTCTGAAAATGAGACCATTATGAACAGAGCATGAATTTGCAAAAAGTGTCGCAGCCCTGCAGAAGTCGAAACTACTCGTTTATGCTAACTGAAGATGCAATTTATTTTATCCATAGTTTTTTGCCTATCAGAAGAGTTTTTTATGTAACCATTCAGGAACAGAAATGTGGACACAAACATTTTAGCTAAATTTGCAAATCCCATCTGCTTGAACAAAACTGTGGTCACTTGCATTGGGACAGAATTTCACCTTGGCTCCTGATGTAACGTCTCTTTGATTTATAACACCTCACGTGTCAAAGGAAAACTGTCATGCTAGCCTTTCTAAATCAGTACTACACAAGTTAGTTCATGAGCTCCGTGTTTTGTGAGCTTGGTGAAAAAACCATAATTGAAATGCTGAATCATTTTGTGTATGTTCTGAGGCTTTCAGTTTGCTTCCCACTTTAATAAAACATTAAATACTCAGCTTTCCAAAACATACACATAAATCAGAATGTAGACATCCATGCTTCCACGGCAGATGCTCTTCTACTCAACACAAAAAAATCCCCCATCCAGGCAAAAAGGTGTAATTTTTTTCCGTGTATGGCATTTTTTGTTCTAACAAAGCTTCAGCACTCAGGTACTTGCACACAGTTCTCAGTGCTGTCTGTGGGAATGGGGCATGTGTAGCTGAGGGCAGAGCGTGTCAGTAAGAAGTCACTGGGTTGTTAAGAATGAAAGCAGCTCTTTGAGTTTCTTGCTTTGAAGAATTTTCAATTAAAAGTCAGTGATGAGTCATACAATTCACCTAGTGCATAAATATATTCTTGTCATTAAGAACAACAAGCAAGGTCAGTAATGAATAGTTTTTCTATGTCTCAGTGGAAAGAAGAATGTTATCCATGTGATTGCAAAGGGTCTGCCAAATGGGAAAAATGAGTCAAACAAAGAGCACAGGGTTGCTTGCTGGAGTAAACAGTTCTAAATGAACAAAAGCTCTACATAAAAGTGAAATGTCCCAACTCCTAATGAAAGCTGTTTTCAAAGCTCTGTATTCGTTCAGAATGCTGTAATACAGATTAACATAATGTTTGCCTTCTCTTGCTAAAAGAGTTTGGTTTCTCAGTATACTGTGATTCCAGCTGTCATATTGTATTCTTAATATTTTAATATTTTACAGATATTTTAGATTACAAATTTTAAATTATAAAGATAAAAATCTATTTACTTACAAGATGGATCGTCTATACTGAATGCTTTTCACATCAAGCACATTTGTTGAGAAGATTCATAAATAGTTACGTTGAAGCCAAAGAAAGACATACAAGCCAAAAAAATCCTGACTTTCACATACAGTTTCAGGACTGCTTAGTTACCTTTCTGAGGTATGAAGCTGTAAACCAGCAAACAAAAACTTTGGTACATTTCCAGAATATTGGGCTGCAGCACTCCAGTGGGCTCATTTAAGGTGCTCAAAGTGCTGCCAACATGGAAGATCTTTGCTAGTAGAAAACATAAAGGAAAAGTGATATATGATGATGAAGAAGCACAGTCAATGCCTAGGAAACCCCAGATATGACCACGGTGGCCAGATATCTGATTATTTCATATTTCTTGATGTAATGAGGCTGTCCTTTATAAATATTTCATAAAAAATGCAAAAAGTTCCAAAAGCCCAGGGCTCACACACGCTGTCCAACATTAGGACAAGCCTGTCTTTTAGGTAGCTTCTAGGTTTTAGTAAAGAGCTTCCGTGTCTTATCATAACCTGTGTTACTTAAGCATAACAATTTTGAATCACATCATGCTAACCAGGAAGCACAGGTTGTCACCATGAATCTGGATTTCAGAGAGTTATTTAAATAGCTTTTGACATATACTTGCTTCCTATGCTGACAGAAAAGTAAGATGTCCTTAGGATTCAGATAGGCTGGAAGGATGGGGAACAAAGTCTGCCTGCCTAAGTCTTTTCACTAGAAATTTCCATTGGAAATATTCTTCAGGCTGTGACACCGCAAACTAAACTAACTTGCTTTAGTATTTTTAAAGGCCTAAGGAAGATGATTCGTTGGGAGGTTAGCATAGCTCCCACGGAGTTTATAACTATTTACATGAGCTGATAATCCAACGCATTTTTTCAGGCAACACCTATCTAAAAGCAGTGAGTAGTGTACATGCTGATATGAAGAACAAGCTTACCACCATTGCTACTTATATGCTGAATTTTAACCTCTGAAGTCTTATGAGTCCTGCCATTCTTTCAACAGGAGCAAGAGAAAGACCCATTTCCATTTTCAGTGGCCTTAAAAATGTTAAAGCTGAACAGCACTGTTCCCATTTTATCCCTCTCCCTCCTTATGCTAACAGATTACCACCGTTGCACAAATGCAGTTCTGCTGCAGCGGAGGCCCATCCCTTTTAGAGAGATTTCCTACATGCTGGGGAAAGGCATATGGACATGACTGGGCAGAACGAGCTGCCTGAGTATGCCAGGTACGCTGGGGTGATTGCAACAACACACTGCTGCCAGTCTGGGCAGTGCCAAGAGAACCATTTTGACAGGAGGTTGGACTGAGCTCTCAGAAAAAGGACAAACCCCTTAACTCCCAAGTTGTTCATGTAACAGAGTGCGTAAAAAAATTCTACAGGAAATGCCTAATCATGAATTATACATTCATAGGAAGTGTAATGTGAGATCTAAATAGAAGTGAAACATAAGGTATTATCACAGTATTTTATTTTGTTCTAAAACATCAGCGTCTGCTTCAAGAGCTAAGGCACAGAGCAGCTGAGGCCCTTAGGCATTATGGCCATGTAAGTTTATAAAAAACAAAAACCTGAACAAGGAAAAGGAGAGAACTTTTCAGGTGCTTTTCTGCAATCACTTTTCAGGATGTGGAATGAACAGTCCACATGTCCATTCTGTAACACAGATAATCACCCCCACATCTTATAGTGGTATTTAGAACAGTCTCATAGATTGTTTAAGATTTACTGGTAGTGCTCATTATTTAAAACTGACAAATAGCGTAGGGATCTCACCTATTTCTGATATATGGTTTCTATCTGTAAAGGACATGTGTTTTCTACTGCCAGAGTAGATAAATTTGTTATCACCAGTGCACTCACATTACTGATTTTAACAATTCCTATTTCAAACTGCATGTCCTAAATCATAGGATGCTACAACAGTTAACACTAGTGGAGACTGCAGTTAATTTCTTCGCAAGTGAGGTGAGGGTCTCTGAGCAGAGCTGTTAACTGGGCCATATTTTTGACTTGCAGCTCCCACTACAATAATTTGTTTGTCTGCCACATCCTTGGAAATGCAGCTTGTTCTACATAGTTTATGGTACAGATGTTGCAGTGTAGAAGGCACAGGTGATGGCTAAAAGAAGCACAGAGTTTGAATGCATTTACAGTTTCAGTCAACTCCTGGGAGTGGAATATTCAATAATCTGCAGAACTCCAACTATACATTAAAGGATTGCCTGCCTAGGACTTTGTCCTTTTCACATATACATTAAGTACAAACATCCTTACCATCTATTTTAGATAACAGGCAATTTTCCCTCATCTTAATGCACAAATAAACCAGAATTCTGTAAAATCTGCTTGTTTCAACTAGCAGTGAACAGCCTATGGCATACTTTATGCACATACGACTGTAAAATACAACTGGTTTGTGACAGAAGCTTATGAAAGGTTTATACATCCAGACTCTTTGTTTAAATCATAAGAACGATGAGAATTACATTTAGTAATTTAAATGGTTGAAAACAGTAATGAAAAAAGACTCAAACAATTAGAAGATGAAAATCCATTAAAGAAAATATATTGGAATAACTTATTAGCAAGGGCTTAGAGTAAAAAATATATATATAGAAAGCAGTTTCACCCTCGCCTCCCAGCGAAATGCCAAAGAAGCCTGAACATGAAACTGGAGCTGCCAGCAATCTTTCTGAAATAAGACCTGAGTTTCAAAGAGACAGCTCTTTATGAAAAATGTGTGTAATTTTAGCCTCTTACTATTGGAAGTCAACATGCAGGCAACTGTTAGTGAAATCTTTCACTTCAGGAAATGTTCAGTCACTCGTAATAGGGAAGTAAAGAAAAGACATTAAAAAAAACAACAACAACAAACAACAATAACAAAAAGAAGCAAAACAAAACTGAAACATTGTGCCCACAGACATGCCCACTTCCCATGAATCTGAAATGCAACTCCCAGATCACTCATGTAACGATGCTTTTGTAAAAGGGACATAAAACAGAGACAGGACAAACCCAATTCTCCAAAGCACCCACAGAGGCTGTGAATCACTTACTGTTGCCACAAGGACATTAGCTGTAGCCCCACACACTGCAGCTGAGGGCAGGTGGTGTCTGGCAGCCCCTGCTTTGGGCCCAGGGCTTCGTTGGCGCTCAGGGCCTCCCTGAAGTGCCAGCCATACATGGCCACACTGGCTGCATTCAATGCCTGGAGAACAAACTACTTCAGGGAATTTGTTTATCCACTTACGTTCAGACTAGGGAAGCATGAGATCCCCAGCTAGCAATAGGCAGCAATGGATATGAGAAAAAGGACTGGAAGATCTCTAGTAGTATTTATGTAATGCACCACACTTCCTAATATTTTGACCAAAGTTGAAGCATTCATTTCAAAATGTCCCGATGACATTTTTACAATTCAAGGTTTACAAAGAGGAAAGCACTGACTGACATCTATTAAACTGCATGAACAGCTGAGATGACCACCTGAGTCTGGGAGAGCACAAAGCATGCAGAACTCCTGTGCTGGGGACTGCATTGCATTGCCTACACCTGCCCAGCCATCAAGCAGGGAGAGGCAGCCACAGAAATACATCCAGTCAAGGAGGAAGATCCTGGACTGAGAAAAAAGTCCAGAAAGAAGGCAACCAGCACATCTTCAGCAAGAGCTGATCATTGCAGCTCTTCCAGGTCTCTTCCAGATAAGTAGCTGAGATGCAAAAAACAGACAGAAGTTGGCTGGAACCGGGTCCCCCAGAAAGCATGTGGGGAATTACAGGCAGAAGGCACTTCGGGCAGAGCTGGCAGCTTCATCAGCACTGCACTGACAACCCCCCTTATATCTGACATGTTTACTGATTGGAAAACAGGTAAGTTCTGTAAAGCCATCGAATGTAAACATTCACATAAACTAAAAGAAACAACAAGGTACAAACAAACAAACAAAAAACCAAGAGACAGTTATGTTGAAAAAGATGTCCAATACCTAAGGGAAGTTAGGGACAAGTAACTTGTGTGTTCTGCAGTTTGTCCTTCACTAATCTGTAAGTGAAGTAGTCCATTTTAAGACTGCACTAATGGCTCATAGTCTTTCTTTTCCTGCCTCCCTGTTTTATTCTTCTCAACTAAATTAGTCTCAAGTCTACTTTTGCTGCAGAAATATTTGGAGGTTTTACTTCTTATTTGCTAGCAGCCTTTTCTTTGGGGTTTTAACACATCTCATAGTTAGCACAGAGGTATAAATTTGTTTTCATATGCCTGAATTAAAAAAACAACAGAGTTTTCAATACAAATGTTCTCGTTTTTTCTCTATTATCTTGTAAAGGTTAAAAGAAAAAATATTGCAAAGCCCATGAAGAATTTCTCTCCTCCTTAAAAACAGAAAAACAAACAAAATGTATTTCTATAATCACAGAACAATCAGCAAATAGCAACTATCTTCTTTTCCACTACCAATCATTATTAAAAATTGCTCAGTGATGGGTAAAAGTACAACTTTGGTGCTGGAAGATTTGTTTGGCCTTTGTTGGCTGGTAACTGCTGCATCTGTGTAAGCACAATTCAGAAGATTGCATAGTTTGTAGCTTATCTAAATTGCCATCTTTATTTTTTTTTTCTCAAGCACTCCCAGTGCAGTTTCAGAAATTAAAGTGACTGTCATCTTTGTAACTTTTCAAAGATGCCTGAGTTCAGGGTGTGGACCAAAAAGGCAGAATCTACATCATGAGCCTTATGACTTTTATCACTACATTCTCAGCTGTTCGTGCCAAGATTAAACTTTCAGAAACATCTCAAGCATCTCGAATTAGACTTGGTGAAAAACACCACATACTCAGCCACAGGCACTGCTTTGTTCTTGGATCT